CTCCTCCATTCTCCTCTCGGGATCTTGGGCACGCACGCACACGCGCCCGGCGTGAGTTTTAAGCCACCGGGTCCGGGACGCGAACCGCGGTTGACTACGTGGGAGTCCAGCGACATAGACATTACGCTAACTGCTGGTCCCTCAGCTGCTGCTCTTGAACTGGCTGTGATGGGATGGAGGGAAGGGCCTTCTGGAGTATTCCGATGGCCCGTAAGTTTGGGAAGGACGCCTTCTGGGAGCGGCTCCCTGCCTTCTGGCAGCCCTGTGGCCTCAGAGATCTCGCCGCATGTCAGTGTTGGGAGGCCTGTCCTGATACAGCAGGTGGCCTGGGTTATGACGGGGACCACGTGTCCCAGGGCTCGGGGAGGGTCCGCACCGGCCCAGCAGGGCGGGGTCAGAGGAGCCATGGAAGGGTCACAGAGTTTTTGTTACCACCGCCGAGGGTGGGCTTGCGCTAAGGGGCTGGGAACGTCCGGCCTCAGAAAGGACTTGAAGACCTGAGGTGGCCAGTCGCTCCCGGGGCACAGGGAGGAGAGACTTCTTCTCCCCCGTGTATCTTTTGGTACCAGGAATTTTATGACATGTGCTTTTTTTTCTTTTTTTCAGTTTTAGGGCATGTGTGCTCTCCAGAGGGAGGGAAAGTGAGGACCCCAGGGAGCTGGGCAGGGCATGCTTCAGTCCCTTCTCTTCCATCCTCCTCTCAGGACTTTGGACACACATGTACACACGCCCAGTGTGTTTTTCAGCTGCTGGGTCTGCGATGCGAACAGTGCAGTAAGCCACGTGGGATCCAGCTGCCTTAAACACTGCCACCAGCCGGCCCCCTGTGCATGGATTATTTTAAAAGCAGATAAAATTTAGGGGCCAGCAGGTGGCATGGTGGTTAAGGGCACTGACCTCCCACATGGCTGGCCGCGATTCAAGTCCCAGACCTGGCAGCTTGTTTTCTCTCTCTCTCCCTCTTTCACTCTGTCCCTCTCTGGTCAAATTAAGAAAGAAACAAATAAGTAAATAAAGTTAGATAAAATAGTTCTTTTTTTTAAAAAAAGTAGATAAAGTTTTTTTTTTGAGAGAGAGATTTTCACTGTAGGGCGCGTGCGCTCGCCAGACAGACAGAGAGAGACATAGAGACAGAAAGCGAGAAATCACCCCCCATGGGGGGTGGTCACGTCGCAGTCCCTTCTCCTCCACTCTCCTCTCAGGATCTTGGGCACGCACGCACATGCGCCCGGCGTGAGTTTTAAGCCACCGGGTCCGGGACACGAACCACGGTCGACTACGTGGGAGTCCAGCGACATAGCCATTACGCTAACTGCTGGTTCCCAAAAAAAGTAGATAAAGTTTACAACAAGCCCTGGGGGCCAGCAGGTGGTGTGGTGGTTAAGAGCGCTGGACTCCCACATGGCCAACCGTGCTCTGAGCCCTGGACCTGGCGGCTTGCTTTCTCACTGTCTCTCCCCATCACTCTCTTTCACTCTGTCCCTTTCTGGTCAAATTAAAATAAGTCAATAAAGTTAAATAAAATAATTCTTACCATAATTAATTAAAAACAAACAAAAAACAGCCCTAACAAGCCAGGAGGACCAGGAAGAGCCGCACCTCCGCTGGCCACTGGGAGAGGAGTTGGCACCTCTTTCCATCGTTGGGGGTTTGATGGGCATGGGTCGAGGGGAGCCCCCTTTGCCCTCCGTGACTGCCTGGACCCCTCCCCAGGACAGGCCCGGCCCCTGGAGTTCCTGAAGACCTGCTATGGGGGCAACTTCCTGGTGCACGAATCGTTCCTCTACAAGCGGGAGAAGGCGGTGGGGGACAAGGTGTACTGGACCTGCCGGGACCACGTGCTGCATGGCTGCCGCAGCCGCGCCATCACGCAAGGCCAGCGGGTGACAGTGATGCGTGGCCACAGCCACCTGCCAGACGTGGAGGGCCTGGAGGCCCGGCGGCGGCAGGAGAAGGCCATGGAGACGCTGCGGGGCACGCCGGGTGGTCGGGGCGCTGGGGCGGGCCAGCTGCATGGAGTGGAGAGCCTGCTCTACCGCAGGGGGCTGGGCACCCTCACCCTCACCAGGCCCCGGCCCCCGAAGCGGGCGAAGGTCACAGACCAGCCTCCGGCCCTGCAGGGACCCACTGACCAGGACCAGGACCAGGACATGGACCCCGGTGAGTCACCGCCCTTTGTGGCATGGTGGCCGACCTCTGCCGCTGCCTCGCCCTCCTCGACTGCACCTCTGCTTCCCTGACTGTGCCCCCATTGCCCGCAGGAGGTCCCGAGTTCCTGAGGACGCCCCTGGGGGGCAGCTTCCTGGTGTACGACTCCTTCCTGTACCGTCGGGAGAAGGCGGCCGGGGAGAAGGTGTACTGGACGTGCCGGGACCAGGCCCGCATGGGCTGCCGCAGCCGCGCCATCACCCAGGGCCGGCGGGTGATGGTGGTGGGTGGCCACTGCCACCCGCCCGACCTGGGGGGCCTGGAGACCCTGCGGCAGCGGGAGAACCGCCCCAGCCCAGCCCATCGGGGGAGCCCTGGTACCTGGGAACAGATGGGGATAGGGTGGGGGCATCGCTGGAGACCTGAAGCCTTTCTCTGTCACCACCTACCCCTGTCCTGCTGGCAACTTCCTCTTTGTGGTCCTGCTGGGTGTCAGTGGGCTCCTCTGTCCCTTTCGCCCCCCTGCTTAGCCCCCCCGCGGCCGGCCTGACCTGCCCGAGGCCCCCGCCTTTTGGAAGGACTCAGGTGCTGACTGAGGTCCAGGGCGCAGGCCGGCTCTGACCAGGGTGCACATAAAGCTGGCCCTGGGAGCGCGCGCAGTCAGTTCGGGGGCTGCAGGACTGGGGCGGTCGCAGTTACTGTCCCCGTTTCTTCCCTCCAGCTTCTGAAGACCCCCTACCTCTGCCTGCAACCCACCCCACTGCAGTCTCCATCCCCAGACCCCTGCCTTTTCCTTGGTGCGGCTCGGTCCTTCCCTGCTCACGTGCCCTCAGTCTGGAGGTCACAGCTGAGGCGGTGACAGCGTGCTGGGAGGCGGCTGGGCTCCATGCACTCTTGGAGGGGGTGGCTGTGGGGCCGCAGGTCACAGGGCCTCTGTCCCTGGTGGCATTGCTGCTGTCTAGGACAGGTCTTAGAGTCACCTGCCCATTCCTGGTGTGCCCTGCTGTGTTGGGGCGCCTCGGCCAGGGCGTGGCTTCTCTCATCTCTGGCGCTGAGTGCGGCTGGTTTCTCCTGCCATTGGCCCAGTGCCACCCCCAGGCCTGCTGTCTCTAGTTCCCAGTTCCAAGGGTCTTTGTGTGGCCCCCCGCCCACTGGGTCTCTCTGCCGTAGCTCTCTCACTTGCCCATCTCCTTGGCATGTGGCTGGTCTCCGGAGCGGTGTCCCTGCCTGCCTCCCCTCTCCCTGCAGGGCCGGGTCTGCCTGCCTTGCCTGACCTTGTCCCTCGCAGCTTCCTTCCTTCCTAGCCCACCTGGTGCTGCGGGTGCACTCCGACCAGCTCACGGGCCTCAACACGGGGCACACCGCTGGCTTCTGCAGCACGGCCGGCCCTTGCCTCAGTGGCCTGTGGGCTAGTCAGCACCTACGGGGCACTTCCTGACCGGCACTAGGCCCAGCCGCAGCCTTCTGGCCCCGGGCAAGGAAACAGCAGCAGCGGGAGCCAGCGGGTGCCCGTTCTGCTCCCCAGTCTCCGCGCCCCCACCCCAGGGCCGCTTTGCCTGTCTCCCTGCTCCTGTTCAGAGGCCCCGCTGGGCCTGGACCGCAGGACAGCTGCTTCTCCGCGGTTTCCCGCCAGGCTCGGGAGCCCTCTGTGCCGCCTTTGCCGAGTCCCTTGCGCTCCCGCCCGGCCCCTCGGCGCCCCTGACCGGCCTCTCCAGATCTCCATGCCCGCGCCTCTTTTATCCCTTTCTGGGCATTCCGACCACAGGTGGGAGGAGGTGAAACACCAGTCACGTGCTTCCTTTTCCCGGCTGGTAGCCCTGCCACTCCCTTGTGGCCAGCTTGGTCCCTCCGTCCCTGTGTCCCTTGTCCCCCAGCTCCTGAGCCACTACCCTCTTCAAGATGACTCTGCTGGACGCCCATCGCCCCGCCTTCCCCAGGGCATCCTCACTCCCCGGCCTCTGTGGCCACCTCTGCACAGCCCCTGGCCCGGACAGAGGGACAGGATAGCTCTGACAGATGACCCCTCCAGGGCTGTCCCGTAGCCGTGGCAGGTGGCAGGTACTGGTCCCTGTGCAGCACGCCTGGCTCTGGGCGGCGGCCCTCGGCCCAGCTTGCCGTCTGCTTCATTTAGCTCCCGGCTTCCTTGTCCCCAAAGGGCCATAGTCCCTCTAACTGGTCAGGTGAGCACAGCCTGCATGTGGGTGCCCAAGAGCAGACGCACCTCCGCTGCCTCAGCCGCAGGGCCTCCGTGCGTGGTCCCCGGCCCCGGTGAGTTAAGGAGTAGGGGCCGGGCTCCGCGAGGAGGGGGTGCAGACGTGGAGTGGGGGTCTTGCTCCACGAGCTTTGCCGCTCTTGGCCCTCAGAGCAGGGCACATCTTCCTCACCCCTCAGCTCCCATGGCTGGGCTCCAGACTCCTCCCCTGACTGTGCCCCCATTGCCCGCAGGAGGCCCCGAGTTCCTGAGGACGCCCCTGGGGGGCAGCTTCCTGGTGTACGACTCCTTCCTGTACCGTCGGGAGAAGGCGGCCGGGGAGAAGGTGTACTGGACGTGCCGGGACCAGGCCCGCATGGGCTGCCGCAGCCGCGCCATCACCCAGGGCCGGCGGGGGGGGGGGGTGCGCGGC